CCAACAAATGGTTTTCATTTCTGAATTCCCTTTAGTGTGCTTCCAATCAGCCATATTTTTATAAATCACAGAATTTATAGAATTTTGCATTCTGCCTTTTCCAATCAGTAATATAACATTCGTCCCCTGTCACTTATGTTTTGTTTAAAGTGAAGTGATTTTGCATATAATTTGGGGGGACATAAACGATGCTGCAGTGAACACCTTCACGTATAACCCTTGGTCGGGGCGTGTTTGTTAGGGAAGGTCAGGCGGTGTTGCACAGCCAGGAAAATGTTTATGATGTGATGTTGTGGCCGCAGGAGAGGAATCCAGTACAAAGGCTTTACCAGCCTCTTTCTTCTCCCTCCCTCTCTGCTCCTGCTCTTTAACCTCTCCTGTGCGCGCGCGTGTGTGTGCGCGTGTGTGTGCGTGTGTGTGTGCGTGTGTGTGTGTGTGTGTGTGTGTGTGTGTGTCCTGCTTTATCAGCTCATTTGCATTAGAGGCAGTGTCTCACCCATCCTGAATCTTTCCTTCTCTTTCAATCCTTATTCAGTAGCTGTAGGTTGGACTGGGGCAGCCCTGGAGACCTTCCCTGCTGGGCCAGGCCCCATTCCTGCTCCCCTTAGAGCTGGCTGGTGTCGATGGCAGGGCACCCTGACCAGAGTTAGCCTCAGCTAGGTCCCGGCCACATCTTTGGAATGGGGCCATGCAGTCTTTACAGTCACTCAGCACAACTCCTTTGGGACTGGCACAGGGATGCATATGACACTTGTGAAAGGAACTAAGGAATTTGCCGATATCTTTAAAATAGGTTGGAGTAGCCCGGTTGACGTTGCTCAGTGGTTGAGTGTTGACCTATGAACCAGGAGGTTGCGGTTCGATTCCTGGTTGGGGCACATACCCGAGTTGCGGGCTCTATCGATGAGTCCCTCTCATCTTTGATGTTTCTGTCTCTCTTTCCCTCTCCCTTCCTCTCTGAAATCAATAAAAATATATTTTAAAATAGGTTGGAAGTAGATTTCCGTAATGGACATTTTCATGGGCACTAGTTGGGCCATATTTGTTTATTGTTGCCAGACTATCATCTTGCTTTTTCAGAGGAAAAAAATCTAATTTTATATTCTTAAGTCAGAAAAGACTGAATTGTTTTCTGATCCTCAGAGAAAGGGGACATTTGTCTCATCCAAGTATGTAGTAGCCGAATGGTATGTGTGCAGCCTGTGTGTGTCCTGTGTCCTCCGTGACCGGGGAGGATGGCCCTCCTCACTCACACGTAAGTGGAGAAGGCCTTACCTATCTGCTGGGAGGAACCTCTGGGCCCAAAGCAGCCCTCCATTCCCCTCCCACCCGCACTGCCATCACAGGTCTTCCCAGTGTTCATTCCTGTTGAAATGCAAATACTCATGGACGGGAGATAATGAAAGCCTTTGTGTCTTATCATTTATCTGGTAAACCTAGCTTGGAAGTGAGGGCCTGGGCCAAGGTGAGTAATGATGGAATGAAAGTGACCATTGGGAGGCAACTTGCAGTTCATTTAAGGCCAAGGTTCATGAACATGGCTGTCTATCCCAACTGCCAGGTGGGCTTCCTAGGAACATATTCCTAGACCTTCACCCGGACCTACTGGGAGGGGATAGATTTGTCTGTATGGGAAGCGGCACCACAGAGGCACCCATCTGAGTTTGAGGCTACGTGATCCAGGCCAAGTTATGAGCCCTGTCCAGTAACCTGAAAATGGAATAAAACTACCTACACTTGTAGGGTTGGAAGAAGGATAAATAAGGTTAAATGAGGCCATTTAAAGACTCAGTAGAGTGCCTGACTCACTCTCCATTTCTCGGATGGGAAGGCCAAGCCCTAGCAAAGTGACAGCACTAACATAAGTTACCCAGCTCTTTCCTGGCAGCACCTCCCCCCGAATTCTGGTCTCCTCCACACTGTTGATGGAGAAGGTGGGGAAGAGGAGGAAGAGACTCTCTAAGAGGCTGTGCTGTATGGGGAAGGGGAGCTGAGAGCTGAAAGACCCGGAAGTCTATGGATGGCAAAAGTGAAAGAGGATACAGAATGGCAACAGATAGGTAAGTCAGACAGAGAAAGACAAATACTGTGTGATCACATTTATGTGTGGAATTGAAACAAAACAAAACAAAACAAAAAAACACACCGAGCTCACACACAAACAGATTGGTGGTTGCCAGAGGTTGGGGGGTGGGGAGTGGGCAGGACTCTGCAGAGAGGAAAAGGTGCCTTGTCATGGGCACTGTCCTGTCCTCATGGTGTTTTCACAGGAAATGCAAGTGTGACCCCTAGTAAAAGTCAGAGGTGTAACATTAAAGGTAAAATCTGTAATGTGGTTGACAGATGTGGCTTTAAGTGCTACAACTTTTGTAGCGGTTAGACTATACCTTAAACTATGTTTCCCAAATATAGTTCTTCTGACTGGGTTCCTGATAGAAGTTGGCTGTTAAATGGTGCAAGAGGCTACTTTAGCTGGGAGCCCAGCATCAGTGTTCTATTCTGATCATTGAGGACAGATTCCAGAAACTGGGCAAGGAGCTGGCAGAGCTGGAGTTCTGTGAAAATTACAGCTTCTCACCAGAATCCTTGTCAAGACACCTTCTACCCTGTCTCCACACAGAGACTATACGGTATTTCCACACAACACCATTGGGGTCAGCAGAGGCTCCCAACCTGACCCACAGCAACATGGCAGAGATGGAAGAGAAGGTTCTCGCCGGAAACAGAGTGGGTGGTACCAGCTAAATCACCTGGGCCTTGGCAATGCTGCTCTGGAGGACACGTTATCTCTGAACCATGGAAGGAAGTGAGACCTGCATGTTGTCTGATAACATCTGCGTAAATGCTGGAGAATGTCAGCCAGCAGCCGTGAGAATGCACCTTGCAGACCTCCAAGTCACTGTCCGGCTGCTGTGCTCTGAAATTCATTACCACATTTCGCTGTTGCAATAACTGAACATGACAGGATCCCTGTGACAGGCTGGGTCCTGGGACCCACAGGCCTCCTCTGAAGCTGACGCTGTCAACCCTCTTCCCCCGCAGCAGCCTTGCCAGGCCTTCCTTAGATTGCTGGTCTGGGACGTTTCCACCCAACCACCCATCCTCGCTCCTTCGCTGGGGCTCAGGCTTGCATTGCGGGGCCCCAGACTTCACCTCTCCCATTTTCTCTCACGCGGGCGCTTCCCCTAATCACTCTGTGCATGTTTGGTTCCATCTTGACCTCTGTCTTGGAAGACCTGAGCTAACATCAACAGCAATTTCTGTTTTTATCTTAGCTGACACTTCACCTTTCTGACAACAGATGAAAATTGATATCCCAAATGTCTCTGCTCAGCCCAAGAAAACCCTCCTTCCATTTCAAAGTCCAGACAATACTGACTCTACCCTCTCACAGGGAGGGCTTCCGTGGTGACAAAGCACACACGGAATAAAAGAAGGCAAGAGCATTTGTCTTCACACATGTCAAATGGCAAAACAGGACTTCCATTCTTTTAACTATTCATCTGCTGAAGCTCTACCCCAAATCCCATCTAGCCCTTTCTCTGACATGAGGTACAAAGTCTCTCTGTGTCTCCATTTTGGGACAAGATGCATCATTTTCTTCTAATAGCAACCTCTTTTGGTAACTGGAATGTGTTGGGCTTTTCCTCCAACAGACCAGGAAGGTCAAGAGATAATTCTAGAGACGTCTTTGGGGTTCCTAACTGTAGAACTCATGCAGACACTTCAAATATAAGGACCCTCTCAGGAATGAGTAGTGGCTCCAAACAGGGGCCAAGACAGGCTGTTTGATCCTATTCCTCACCACCCAATTACAGCTTCCTCACACTATTAGTCAGCAAACTAAGTCATGGGCACAATTACGTTCCCTCACTGGCTTCATTGTGAGGCAGGATAGTAAGGAGCCAGGAAACTTCCTCGGTGAGTGGAATGGAGAAGTTGAGACAGATGGCTGATTCAAACTGGCCTCATCCAGCACCCTGACTCTCTGCCTCCTTCTCTCTCGCATGCCCACTCCCTTAAGCATTAAGCCCTCAGAACATTGAGGTTCTGACCCGCATCAAATAATCTTAGGAACAAAGCCTCGGGTCTGTTGACCCCAGAGACAGAGTTTAGGTTAAACTGGAGATAACATCTAGGTCTCAGTTGTGTTTTCAGCTCCAGGCCCAGAAAAGCAGCAAAACCGGATGAAGCCATGCCATGGCTGATACCAGGACCAGATGCAATGACTAATGACCCCCTGCATTAGCACTGACCAATCACAACCCTGAAAGGACACACCTGGAAAGCTGATGAATATTCTATTGAGATCCTTCCCTGAGACCTCCCCCAAAATTCCTGCATATAGAAAACAGATAAAAACGCTTAACACTTGGAGTGCGGGTGAATTTCCCGCCAAAATATAAGATGGCTCTGTCTTTTGGTTTTGTTCCATCCACCAAAAGGGTGGATTACAAACAAATATTTGGTAATACGCAGTTACAATCTTTTGCCTCAGTAATTTGCCTCCTGAGCCCACACAACCCAGCAGGCTCACCTCTTCTTCCTTCTGTGACTTTCTTTCTAAAGGGCCAACGCGGCCACACTTAGGTTCCACTATTCCTCACATTTCAAAGGGCCAAGGCAGCTCCGCCCAGGCTCACTCCTGTTGCTATGATCTTGTCTCTTCTATTTTAAGCCCTTCCTTTGTTTCACTGTCCCCACCTTTAGTAAACGTACTTTCAAAATCGCCTGGACTTGTGTTGTGAAATTTTTCCTGCACAAAGTCAAGAACCGAGAGGCCAAATTGCCAGTAATAACTGTCCTATTAACTCCTACTAGCAGCTATATTCCCCAGCATTTTCCTTTTAATATATACAAGTGAAACCCACAACTTCATATGCCAGGTATTTTTGGATTTTTACTTTCTTGGAAACATGACAATTTGGTTTATTTTCTATGACTTTCAGTGGTCCTGTGGAGCTCAGAGTACCTCTTCCCAGACACCCATTTCAACATACCTCCGGTCTGTGGGGTACATTTCCACAGTGACTACATCCAGAGAGTTCCAGGCCGAGATGGTCAATCCGTTGTACAGACACAGCATACCTATCATCATGGATTCGCTGGTGCCAAACCAAAGAAAGAAACAGCTAATCCCCGAAAGCACCATAGAGCCACCTGTCAATGAAGCAGACAGAAGGCTGGGATGTTTCCCCTCATCTTGGTAGAGCAAAGACCCTTGAGTCTTCAAGGTCTCACAGCAACACAGATCCCACGGGGAAGCTGCAGACTGGGTTTGGCAAAGCTCAGGTGCAGGTTTGCTCACCTGGATGAAAGGTTTGCCCCTCTAACTGCCTTCTGAACACAGCAAGCATGAAATGCACATCATCAATTATTCAGCTACTTAAGTGGAAAAGTATACATTAGTCACACATAATTAGTTTTCTAGGCTGTGAACTCATGGAAGCTGCTCAAATGAAATGTAATTAGACATAATTTTCACTAAGATGGTGTCTTAATGAAAGGTCTGAAGGGATTTCTCTCACCTCTGTGGGATGCAGATCCCTAAGGGGGCAGAGGGCACGTGGGAAGTGGGCTCCCTCTAGGTGGCAGGGCAGCTCCTTTATTTTACAGGACACGAAGCACTTACCCAGCATCGTCAAGCGCCCGATTCTGTCCATCAGGAGAGCAGACACGATGTTCCCCGGTAACACCGCCAATGTTCCCAGGAAGTTGACAAAATAAATCCAGTAGGCACTGTAGTCATCATCAAAGGTAATCTGGCATCCCGTTTTATTGTGAAAAAAGGAGCAGTTTTGAAATTCACTGTCAATGAATTTGTACTCCTCGAAATCTGTGGACATAAGGAAAGATAATTCATCAAGCTCTTAATAGTTATATACCAGGATAAGAAAGCCTATGGAGAATACGGAAAGGAATCATGATACTCTACTCTCCTTGAGAGCTTCAAGGCCGGGGCTGGTTTGACTTTTAGTATCTTTGCCTTGACAAAGTGCAAGGTCTAGGACTTTACATTACAAAGCATGGTTGGCCCTCCATGTACACGGATTCCACGTCTGTGGATTGGAAAAAAAAGTATGTTGTTGCTGATGTGTACTGTATTGCAAGGCCCATGATGGATGCATCTGTACTGAACATGTACAGACATTTTTTCTTATTGTCATTCCCTAATAACACAGTATAACAACTATTTATATAGTATTCATATTATATTAGATGTTATCGGTAATCTAGAGATGATTAAAGTGTACAGAGGATGTGCAGAGGTTATGCAAATACTACAGTATTTTATATCAGGGGCTTGAGCATTCATGGATATTGGTATCCACCGGGGTCCTGGAACCAATCCCCCTAGTACTGAGGCACAACTGCAGAATGAGGGAATACCTGTGTTGAAAAAGGAATAAGCTAAGTTAAAGAATCCAGTTACCCTCCGATTTCTTTTGATTAGCCATTGCTAATTTCGTTACTTGTTTACTCCTTTATGATGTTAGTTTGTTCTAATTATCATGTTATAGAAGGACTATCATTATAGGGCTAATAGTTTCCATACAACAATTACCAAAAACAATTTGTTTCAAAATATGTATGAATCAGCCATATGTTTGCCATCTCTGCTGACTGTAGTTCAGACATGCTGACTTAAAGAAACACCAGATTTAGAAGCCAAGATTATCAAAACAAATAAACTACAGGTTAATGCTTTGCTTTAAAAATTATGCACCAAACCATTTATTTTTTAACTTTGAACTTCTGCAAGTCCCATTTGCATTACATCTGACAAAAACAAACAATACACACGTAACTTTGATCTGACCTGATTTAGGGAATCTGTTCATTTATACTTTAATCTCCATTTCCCCTTTAAGTCTCTGCCCACACTGTGACATGCGTATCCCATTTCTGCCCAGCGCCAGGCCCTCTGAAGAGGCCTCAGCAGGACTAAGTAGCACACCTACCTGTGTGGTCAAAAACAGTGTCAATAAATGTGCAGTTCTTGAAGTAGGTGTTGACTGAAGTCACATCCTCAAAAGTGCAGGCCTTAAAAAGCGAATCCTTGAAAGTTACAGATTTGAACTTGACCCCGAGGAATCTGCTCAACACACACAAAAAATTCCTATCAATGATTGTCCACCAGGGTTTAAAGGTAAGTCAAACAGGCTTAGTGATGGGCTGCCCCTCTGTGGACACTCTTAATTACAAAGGACATTGGTTTCTGGGTTTTCTAATCTCTTAGCTTTTCCCCCTTTGCCTCATCCAGCCTGTTCTTTGGCTATCCATTGCTTGCCAAGATTATTTCCTATCCGAAGAAGAGGTGGCATTCAAGATAACTTCACTTAGCCTTTTGCAATGTTGGTAAAAGATTTTTTGTGGGGTAGGCAGTTGCAGGTAGAAATATTGGAGATTACTTGTGACTATTAATTCTTTATTTTTCAATCCTATCTTCTTGTTCCTTCCCATATGCCTTTATTTGAAAATTCTCTATTTGGGGTTCATGGCTCTAACTGGAGGACGTGCTCCCATACACACTTTTAAAGGGAGTCTGTTCCCCAAGCCCAAAACCCAAGGTTTCTTCATTCCAGTGTAGGGATTATCCTGTAGAAAGGACACGAGGAATGACTGACTCAGGGGTCAAGAAACTCATAGCCACACTCACTCCAAGAATATTTCTCTTCTCAGAGCCAACAGTTATTCCTTGAACCAAATAGAATGATGCGAGCTCTGCTTATTTTTGGAAATGTGTAGAATGATGAAACCTGCTCATACACAGTTTTGGTGCTAAGGGGGAAACTCTAGTTAGTAAAAATGATAACAGTCATAATGATCCTAACATTGTAGAAGAATCTATGACTCAGATCTGTCTGTGTTGATAAGGATCTCAGGAGACATGAATAAATGTTCAACAGTGTCTCAGTAATTTATTAAGAGAGCATGAATATATACTTATACAGTCACCGGGAGGAAAATGCTTATTCAACCACGGAAGAAGTTTTGATATCAAATGCCACTCCTATTAGGGTCAGAAAGGGACTGATCCCAGAGCAATTCACTAATTATTGGGTAATACTTTCAAAATTGTTCTCACTCTAAGGATTGACTGTGCATTGTGGTGTAACAGAACAACCGGCTTAAAAAATAATCTTATGTCAATCCCCTGCTCTAGGGGTCCAGAGAAAAACCATCTAAACGGTAAATTTACCCACTTAAAGGATGGTAAATAATGGGACATTTTAAGATTATCAATTTTTCAGAAATGGAACTGAATTTAGAAAGGGCAAACAATTTTTTGAATGGGTAGTATATACACAGAGTACACCTGATACAAAATAAAAAATTTAGAAGGGAAAAAGTAAGTTTTTTCCGACCTCTTCTCAGACCACCCCGTTCTTTTGTGTTAGTTTTTTGGGTGCTCTCCAGGAGCATTCTTTATGAAAAGTGCTAGCAAATGAGACACGTTATTCTACAACTTGCTCTGTCTCCTGGTAGTCTACCTTGGACTCCATATCAGTGCAGAAAGAGGTGCCATTTATATGCTGAACAGGAAAGCTATTTTTTAAAAAATGAGTTAGCTAGTGGTATTTCAAATTTCCTTGAAAAAAAATTCTACCACTTTCTAAAATAAATATATATTTTATAAGGATTTCAGTACTATTAAAACTATTAACCATTATATTGCTAATGTAAAATATTTCTTAGTCATGATTGAATACCCATCTTAGAATTTTAACAAATATTATTAAAAATATGACTGTCAGAAATACAAACATGCTAGAAATTTCTAATGGAGTAACAGAATTTTTTTTTTATCCTCAGTGAAGAAAGAGGAAAAGACAGAGAGAAATTGTGATGTGAGAGAAACACATTGATTGGCTGACTCCTGCACGAGCCCCGACCAGGGCCTGGGCTGGGGAGAAGCCTGCAACCAAGGTGCGTGCCCTTGACTGGAATCGAACCTAGAAGATTTCTTCTCTGAATTAAATAACCCAGCTAGGGCAAGTAAGAGTATTTTTTTTAAATAAACAAAGTACATTTCAATCTAGAATTACAGAGCACTTGACTCTACGGGTTCTGTGGGAACCAAGTGCAGCTCTGAGTTGGGGTGTCGTATGGGAGAGTGCAGGTGGTTCTATGTGGCTGGGATTAGGCTTAGGCCCCTCCTTGAATTGTCAGTTCAAACAATTATCTCCTGCTGGCAATTCTCCTTTTCATTACAAACCATAAACATCCCACAAATTCTTTTTCATCTTCCAAATTGGTTTTTTGCCCTGGGCAACTTTGATTATTCTAGCTTTTTACTTTTATCGTTTTTGAAATTAGGACAATTTCCTAAGAATGATGTAAACCATTGGAACTCACAGCAGCGATTATTTGCTCAGACAACAAATAATGGATGTAAATGAGGACCTTGTCCGTTCTTTGCTTTCCTGAAAGAATGAACCAGAATCTTTCTGAGCCAGTTCTCTGTGCTCATCAAGAGGCATTCCAGGTTCTAGTCTCAAAAATACCCTTTGCTAACGCGTTCTCTATTTCCAAAGCCCCAACTTTGGAGAATCATTCCTGTTCTCTAATTGAAACTCTCAATGTAACCTCAATTTTTGATTCAGCATCATGGAGAAAGAAGAAATTCTGAAAAACGGTCCCCTTTTTCAGGAGTTGAAGACAGGCAACAAATTACACTTCAGATTTCTTCTCTGAATTAAATAACCTTATAACCCATTTTATTTTATCATACTCCTCATTCTTTTCTTCTGTGACTTATTTTCATTTTTCTCTAGGGTCTCTCTAAATTTTCATTTCATAACAGTCAATCCCACTACTTAATAAATGCAAAGCAACTCAGTTTCAGAAGTAGTTTTAAGTGAAGTAACAGATCCCTTTTCTGTAACGCCCATTTGGAAGTATTCATATTCAGCCAGAAATGACTAAATGTACAAATTAAAAAACAAAACTAAAATACTACACATATTTCAGTGCAGTGAGGGCTAGTAAGAAATAAGTTTTTGTGAACAGATAGCATACTAAGTTATTTCAAAGTTTCTGGACCTGCCATTGTAGTATTCCATTCCGGTATGAATCTGATTTTCCATTGTAAAGTTAATACTGAAATTGGCATATTTCTCTCTCGGCACATTTCTAGTTCGTAATGCATATTCATCCGATTGCAGATGTTTAATGACATCAGGGAACCAAACAGATAATCCATAGTACCTGCAAAGACAAAGAAATGCGAGTTTGTAAAGGTGCCAGCAACGAGAGGCGATGCACGCCTGCCTCCCTGACATGCTCAGAGAGGTAGCGGTTCCCAGAGAGGTGCTCTGATGATGACCGGCTCCCTGAAACATTATGAATCATCACGCTGTCATCTGTGCTGCTCTCTCCCCACCACGATTAAGTCTGCAAAAATCAACCTAGACATATGGCCTAGGGTTCCCTGGGGAACCCCAGGTACATAATTCCTGAAGCTGGTGCTTTGGGAGGAGACATTGTATAAGATTCCCACCCTGTACCCATACGTGGCATGCTGGTCCTGAAGTTTTCTCATCATCCCAGGCTGCACTGAGGAGCCCCATCGCCTAGTCTGCCACACGCCTGGTATCCAAAAACCACGAGAGCCCTTAAAGAATGACCTCTGTTATGAGTGCAGAATCTTTTTTTGGTTCCCACACTCCTCTTCCACTGCTGGCCTGAGGATACAGCCCCATTTCTCAAAGCAGTTCAAGGCTGGGAAAAAAACCGTGCAGGCGATTATCTGAAAATCCAGGTTATTTCCAGTTTCTGCCTGTTGGCCTCACATGTGTCATTCCAACGGGTAACCACCGTGTTCTTCAATACAGCAGCCACTCACCACGTGTGGCTACCGAGCAGCTGACATGTGGCTACTGAGCAGCTGACATGTGGCTAGCCCATACTGAGATGTGCTGTATGTATAAAATATCACATTGAACGACTAACAAAAAAGAATGTAAAATAAGTCTTTAATCATGGTTATATTGACTATATGTTGAACCGATAACATTTTAGACATAATGAGTCAAATAAAATATAGTATTAAAATTAATTTCACCTGTTTCCTTTTACTTTTTTTATAGCGTGGCTGCCAGAAAATTTAAAATGACACATGTGGCTCACATTATGTTTCTATTGAACAACAATCCTCTGAAACAGTGGTTCCCAAAGTGGGGTCCTGGGCCAGCAGCATCAGCGTTACCTGGGAACTTGTTAGAAATGCAAACTCTCAGGCCCCGTCCAGTCCTGCTGAATCAGGAACTCAGGGGATGGAGTCCTCCAGGTAATTTTTCTGATGCACACTACAGTTTGAGAATCATTGCTCTAGTTTATCCTGTTGCAGGTAGACATGCTAGGTTCGAATCCTGGCCTTGCTACTTACCAGCTGTGTGATCTTCAGCCAGTTCCCTAAGCCTCAGTTACCTCATCTCTAATGTCAGATGGATGATAGCATCCACCTTCCTGGGTGGTTGCTTAGATGAAATGGGATGCAAAGTACCCAGCACACAGGGAGTGCTCGGAAGACAGTATGTGTAGTTTTATCATCATTGTCTTCAGGAATCTGGAAACATCACTGGCTCAGGATTCCAGATTCTAACCCCTTCTCTTCATAAATCATGAATTAAATTACTGTGAGGGTATGAGTGGTGGCCACTGAATAAGAAATAACTCAGAGATGCACCATCTATAGCACTGCTCTCTAGTCATATACATAGGACAAAAACTTTAAAAATAGCAACTGCGAGGAAGCATGCTACCCTGGGGTGTCTGTAATCAATGACATGGAGGAGTTTTAGCTCAGTTTTCATTTATTTGGCAAACATTTACTGAATATCCACTAAATGCTACTCACTATTTGAGGTTATGGGGACATCAGTAAGAAAATCATAAAGCTTAAGATGTGGTCAATAATAAATTGTTAAACAAATCAGATAACTCTTCACATCTTGAGAGTAGAACTTTTGTCTTGCTTAACACCTCTCTTAGTGTTTACACACAGCAAGCACTGAATACATTCTAATGTTCATCCTTCATAGATTAATAGTTACCCTAGAACTTGGGTGGGGGTTACTTTATATATTCTAAATCAATCCTCTCAACTTAGAAATGAGGAATAAAAACTCAGGAATGCCCTAAGTCACATGCAGAACAAGATGCTAGGTGTCCTAACCATCACTTTCCTTGTTTGTCCCTTTATTACAACTCAGAGCACTGGGAGAGATCAGTCATGTCTGGTCACTTGCTGTTTTTATTTAGGGATGTTAAGACATGGAACTTAAAGCAGGAATGTGGGGCTCCACCAGACACGAAGATCCTATTGACCTGAAAGTGTAGTATACTTTTCTTGCATGTTCAAGGAAGAGCAAAGAGGCTGCTGTGCTGGGGCCAACCACATGAGGAGAGGAGGGAGGAGAAGTGATGGGGGACAAATCACCCAGGGTTTTATTGGACTTTCCAAATACGACTGGTTTTGCCAGCACAGCTTTATGACAAGATAAGTGAAATGACTAGACTATAAAATCGTAACTGTTAGCAAACCTAATCTGGATAAAATTCTTTCCTAAATGTTAACAGCATCAAACAGCGTAAGAAAAGAAAGCAGCATGACTAGGAATTACAGTGTGGACATATAAAGATTTCACTCACCAAGAATTTAAATATCACTTACCCAAAGGACAGGGTGAACCAAACGATTGTAAGCTTTATTGTATTTTCCCTAACTGGGTAGTGGAAACATCTCATAAAAGTCATCCAAATCTGTAAAATATTAGAGTGTTAGTTTACTTATACAGTTATCTAGTCAACCCCACTCCCCACTCCCTCCAACAAATTATTAAAAAGTTGAGTTTTCTTTGCACTGGATTCATTTGAACTTAAAATGTAAAAGCTAGAGGCTAGAGAAAACCAAATCCTGGAAATTTCATTTACCAGCTTCCTGAGGTCAATGGGCAAAGTAACTGAAGCCTACCCAGCACTACGAATACTCCACCGAACACCTTCCCTTCCCAAAGATGAAGCATCTTAGTTTCCCCGATGATCCCAAGGGGATCCTATTACCTGGTCCCAGTCCAGAAGTCAGGTGTCTGAAGTGGGGAGAAACCCATTCATGGAACTGGTCAGTCAACCCTGCTTCTGGCTAACCTCAAATGCAACAATTGACCAATAGACTATTGACTATTGGCCAACAATTCAGACGGGCTTGTTACTTACTCCATACAGTTCTGTGTGGATCCGAACGAAACACCTCCTGTACCATGTTCCTGTGTCACTCTCGATTTCAATCAACTCATCTATTTGTTTTGGGGTTTTGATTCTGTTTACCTATAAAGAGCAACAGAGGGCAAAGTGTTGAGTTCTCTTCTCTGATGTTGCTCGGTTAAGGCTACCATCTGTTTTTAAAGGAGCAAAAGCTGACTCCAACAAAAAAGCAGGCATTTGATACTCACGTCATACATATCTGAGACTGATGATGCAAGTGCACAGACCCAAATGGCACCTAAAGGAACTGAATAAAGAATGAATGGGAAGGAATACCATAGGGAAGTAGGTGAAGGGCAGGCAGTAATGGAATAGTGTGAAATTAAAATCCTTTCTCTGAATCATTACTACAAAGGCACACATAAGCAGATAAAACATCCAGATAGGTCAGCTTCTGGATTAAGAATTATTTGCTTGGACTAAAGTGATTGTACATACTTTTCTTTGAAACCTACTTATTTGATGAATTTGGCCCCTAACCATAGTTCTGAAAGCTTTCCCATCAAACTTTTATCCTTGGAGCATCATTATTGCCCTCTCTTCCTTCTCCCACAGCCTAATTAGCTCACAGTGACTGGTCAGCAAATATCTACAGGTGACCATAGTGCAAGGTCAAGTGAATGAGCTTCGATGGCAAGCATCAACACTGAAGGGGAATGAATGATGGAGGTTTGGCATGAAAAGCTGTATCTATGACTTAAGTTAGCCTCTTTTTGCTAAGGAAAAGAACCAAGAGTCAAAAGAAGTAATGCTTTCAAAACCGAGAATGAAGCCTGAAGAGAGAGAGAGAGAAAAAGAGGAATAATGGATCCTTTATGGATCTGTCCTTTCTTATCCTATGAATAACTATTTACTTGCTTTCGATAAATCCGAGAGGCACAGAAATGTACACACGTTACCCCTGCCAGGGATAAATTTTGAACAGATTTTTTTTTTCTGGAGATTCTGCCAATATCCAAAGCAGCACTTCTATTGTGAGAATCCAGGTACCGAGGTTGTCTTTTGATGGAGGTGCTCTGGGGACCCTTGTATCTTTCAAATTATACCAGATAGGCAGTAGCCTTTTCCTGACTATGTAAACAAAGATGTCTATATGTAACAAAAATAATGTCTGAGTTAAATATGGGATTCCAAATAGAGTCAGATCAAAACATGCCATGTAGACACTATTTTGTGATACTGTACCTAGATTTTTTTTAAAAAAATCACAGGGGTGTTCTTATCACTCAATATATTACTTTTGGGAGGCTTCCTCTTCTCCACTCATCAGTGTTTGTTTATTCATTAATGCATTGGCACCCATAGGGTGCCAGGCCTGACACTGGACCCTGGAGATGCAAACATCAAGCAATTACCATACAAAATAAAAAGTACTCTGATGGAAGTGTATATCAGATGGGAGAGAAATATTGTAGAGAACACCCACGTTCACCTGGGAGTGTGACAGAGAAGAGAGAAGGCTTCATGGACTATAGAATTTGAGCTGGAGTTTATGGAGAAATTTGTCATTTGCAATTTGTGTAAACTATTTGGAGTCCATTCCAAGTGGGAGGAATACTATCTGCAAATATCAAGAGGTGTGATTAAAAAAAAAATACTGTATTAGCCTGGCCAGTGTGGGTCAGTGGTTGAGCACGACCTATGAATCAGGAGTCACAGTTTGATTCCTGGTCAGGGCACATGTCTGGGTTGCGGACTCAATCCCCAGTAGGAGGCATGCAGAAGGCAGCCAATCAATGATTCTCTCTCAGCACTGATGTTTCTATCTCTCCCTCTCCCTTCCTCTCTGAAATCAATAAAAAATGTATATATTTTAAAAAATACTGTATTAGACAACTATAAAGAGTTTGGCAGTCCTGAAGAATAGTCCGAACAAAGGGCAGTGAGTAATGAGGGATGAACCAAATCATTGGCAGTGAGGGTGTAAAGGAAGGAATAATGATGAATGATATTTAGGATGGGGAGTAATAGGACAGAGTGATTTTTTTTTTTAATATAATGAAGGTAAAGGAAAGAAGGAAATAGAATAGTTTTCAGGGCTCGTTTGGGTGGTGCCGGTGGTACTTGCTGATAGAATTTAGGACAAGGAAGAGGCTTGGAGACTCTTAAGGTGGAAAGTTAAGATTTAGAAATTCAGATCTTAAAGGGCCTATAGCTTGTAGACTCATGGCCACAAAGCCCTTCAGCATGCATATCTGGAGCTCAGGAGATTTGTCCATTAGGCAATAGAGATGCAGAAGTAGATGAGAACAGCTAAGGAGAGTGTCTAGACTTAAAGGAAAAATTAGCTGAAATTAGCCCTGTAAAACAGTATTTAAGGTATGGGCATAGGAAAAAGAGCTTAAGCAGGAGACCTGGAAGGAATCCATGTATAGTCACTGTATGGTAGATACAAGTATAACAAGGACAAAGGCAGGTTTGTCATGGTAGAATCATGTCATGATTTTGAAAGTCACATATAAATGATTTTGAGATTATCCGTTCTTTTGGATCATTTCCACATTATTCCCATTTTACATAATAATATTATCATGAATGGTCATGGCTGGACTTGGCAACTCCAACTACTGGAAGAAAAGCAGGTAAGCAGGACAATGAGTCCCTACAAAGACACTTTCTCAGGAGTCTTTGGTAAAGGGTTTACCCTCATCTGGCTGAAAGGATTGAGTGATACCCAGTGTCTAGCTAATGTCTTGAGAATCCTCCAGCTTCATGTTCCTTTAATTTAAAAATAGCCTTCCTCTATTGTGCGTCTCCTCAAAAGAATGGCCTACTCAAAGCTTCCAGGCCCTCCATTACTGACCTTACTTTCTCCATTACACTCATAAAAATTTTGCTAATGAAGAATCTATGATAATTTGGACAGATGACATACTGAAGTCTATCTTTACATTATGAAAATATATTTCCTAAATAAAAATAAAATAAGTTAGACACGAGGGACTGTTTAATTAGGGACCATTTCACATTGTAAGAACTATAATTCATGTCATTTATGACACTGAAGATCTTACTTTTGTCCCACTTCTGTCTTACTTTATGTATTAAACCCATTTTAGACAAAACATTTTTCATCAAACTATATGCTGCATATATAAAAAGATTTAAAAACCATGTTCCTTCTAAAGAATTCTGTGCACCCAATTTTAGTTAATTTAGACTGGTTTCCCCATTGAGAATAAACTTTGTAACAAGAGAATCAAAGAACGTTCATGCAGAGGGAGCAGCACATACAGCAGCAGTGTGGCAGGCTTAGGTAAAAGGGGCAAGTATGAGGAAGGGAAGGTACAGCGAGAGAGGGATTTACAATCCGGCCTTTTCAGAAACAGTTTCCCACCCTGGCATAGATGATTCTCTGAGGAGCAGCACTCACCGTGAAGACCTTCTCGGGCTGACCCCGTGCCCTCATGTTTGTGTCATGAATTAACTTCAGAATCATCCAAGCTTCATCATGTTTTCCAACCTAGCAAATGTGAGTAGACAGTGAAGTGCTAGAGGTGAAACACACTCCCTGATTTTCCAATAACCATCTTCAATTGCCAAATCAAATTTGGTGTCATTGTGAAAATGCATTTAGGTGTGTCCCATTGGAACATACTGACTACTTGGATATCCCTGAATACCTTAGCAGTTCAATGGATGTTCCTATAACTAGAAATAGCGCCTTTGGATGGTAGAATTTCATTTATAGAACAATAGCCATGTTCTCTTCATTGAGCAAAGAGTAAATTGCTTGAGGAGGAACATGAGTGCTTTATGGTCACGAGGCAGCTTGTTCACATGCTGGGTGTTGGAAGCATGTCCCCATCACACCAAACCCTCCACATAAGGAAGGAAAAAATACCTCCCAAAGAGGCAGACATGCTGTTCTAGAATTAACAAGCTACTGTCTCCAATGTATGTGGCTTCCTTGAGTATCAGTTATAACAAATGTTACCTCCAACAAGAAGCGGGGGCTTTCAGGCATGAATGTGAGGGCCACCACTGAGCAGACACAGGGGAGGGCGCAGACAATCACGAACACACGCCAACTGTGAAACTGGTAGGCCGACCCCATGCTGAAGCTCCATCCTGGAAAAGGAGGAGGGGAGGGTGAGGGAGAGCGCCCCTCAGACCGCCTGCTGGGAAGCGGGGACTCCACAGTCACTGTGGAGTCTACACCTCAAGTTCATTAGTCAGACCTTTGGACCCACAGAAGAATGAGCTGACCTGGGCTGACCAGCTCAATACCACCAACCTCATTACCACCAACAGCACCACCCGTGGCAACACAACTGCCAATAGCAGTGCTGAGGAGAAAGATGCTTGGAACCAAAGGGGTCAGGGCCTAAGTATGTTTACGAACAACCAAATTTTGAAGGCCAACAAAAATTAACTTGGGATAATATTTTCCCCAATAGACTACTCTGCTGGGTATCTTCTGTTTGCTTCTGCAGATCACTCTCCACTTTCCACTAAGCTGTGTGCCAGGAAATGGATGTCTATGGACTGCATCAACTGGCTCCCATGCCCTCCTCTTCCATTTGGGTTTGAATAGAGGAAGGAGAACAGGGAGTGGGAGTGGGGCTCAGGACATTTATTTCCCTTGCTTCCCTTCTCTCATCTCCCTGGCTGAGTGGAGGTTTGACCCTGGGTATGCACATCCCCTGGAACCTTCTATAGCCACACCTCTTGTCAGGCTCTGGCAACCCCTCCCTCCTCTTGCCCTGTGAGACACAGGTGGGTAGAGGATGCCCTCCCGCTACCAGCTCCCAGGTGTTTATTACTCCTTCTTGGTTTCTCTTTACCGTTCCCACAGAACTCTTTTCAAATGGCCCCTATGAGAGCATCATCACTGCCTGCCAGCACCCTGACCAGTGCAATTATTAAGACTTGCCAGTTGCAGTATCTCTTTCCACATGCACATGTCATCCAATAGATCAAGAGAATTTTAAATTCCCAAACAGTATTTTTATTATAATAGGAACAAGCTTAATGGGATACAAATAGAAATCTCTTCATGGACTAAAAGAAAGACAGTCTTATATTTAAATGAATATAAAATGGTTGAAAGCAAAATTCAAACATGATTCTAAATGAGAAATAATGAGGCATATCAAATCCAATTGAAAAAAGAGGAAATCTATAGAGGCATAGATGAATTATGGGAGGCAAAAATTTAATTTTGGGCAATGCTTGGTATTATAAGGCTTTTTGTGTGAACAAAGTCATAGTCTACACCACACCCCAGCAAAGCAGTATAATTAATCGCTGTTTACATAGGAGCCAGCGAGATTCTGGAGGCGATGTAACTTCCTCAAGGCCACAAAGCTGAAGTTACATATCAGAAGCTTCCCCACCAGGATCTGAGGCAGAATCTTACAGCACACATGGCCTCCTTTCTGTGCACACTTGCTCTTAAACACAGAATCTGCTGACAAATGATGTAAACCTGCTCTATCAATCTTAGATTAATCAACATTTTCTGGGAATTTAATACATGAAAATGATGTGAATTGCTAAATTAACTACATCATAAACTTTAGGAAGGGAAATCTATTCTCAATGTTTTATGCAGAAGTTCAAGTCTCCAATATCTAAAAGGCAGAAGAAATTCTATGATGAAACAGAAAAGATACCTTGTTCAAATATGATCTGAGAGGTTCACAGAATTTCTTTGTAAAAAGCTCCTAATGCTATTATTTTACACATTAGATGAAAAATAAAAGCCTTAGATGGCTGATTGAGGCAAAATGCAGGGTTTTAATTTCAGGCTACAGCCTAGTACACGGAGAAAGAGCAAAGACAAGAGAGGGAAAGGTCTCTGGTGCCTCTGCTAACATAAATTAGCTCTGAAGATGCAGTTTAATAAACAAAAATGGGAGGGTTTTGGTTTGTTTTTTTTTAAATGAAGTTATTTAACTAAGGAGAAAGTCCCACCAATAAATAGCAGAAAACTCCTGGTGGTAGACAGAACAATGCTCCCTCTCTGGCAAAGATTCCTCACCCTCATCCTCTAAACCAGTGATGGCGAACCTATGACACGCGTGTCAGAGGTGGCGAACCTATGATATGTGAACTCATTTTTTTGGTTGATTTTTCTTTGTTAAATGGCATTTAAATATATAAAATAAATATCAAAAATATAAGTCTTTGTTTTACTAGGGTTGCAAATATCAAAAAATTTCTATATGTGACACGGCACCAGAGTTAAGTTAGGGTTTTTCAAAATGCTGACACACCGAGCTCAAAAGGTTCGCCATCACTGCTCTAAACCTTACATGGATTTTGCAGGCCTGATTAAGTGTAGAATCTTGAGATAAAGTGATTACCCCATATTATATGGCTAGGCCCAACATAAGTACCAGGGTCCTTAGGAGGGAAAGAGAGAGGCAGGATAGTCAGAGTGAGAGCAGGAGATGTAATAAGGGAAGCTGAGGTCAGACAGGGGTGAGATTTGAGGATGCTACAGCACTGGCTTTGAAGCTGGCGGAAGGGGCCACAAGCCAAGGAATGTAGGAGGCTTGTAGAAGCTGGAAAAGGCAAGGACACATTCTCTCCTCAAGCCTCCAGAAGCCCTGTCAACCCATTTAAACCTCTGACCTCCAGAATGGTAAGGTAATAAATTGTGTTGTTTAAAACCAATCAATTTGTGGTGATTTGTTACAGCAGCAATAGGAATGCAACACACCTCCCTTTTAGGTATAGATCTATCACTAACCTGATTGATATAAGTTTACTTGAAATTTTATTCTCTATAAAACCTCAGGCCCTTTGATTTTGCTCGGACTTCTCCAGATGCCTCACCAAGGACTTCAGGCTCCTTCCTGATAGTCTTAGAAATATTGCCCTTCACTCTTCCTGCTCCCAAACATCACATCTGTGGGTGGAGAGACAGTTTTCAGTCCACAGAGAAAACTGGACCACAAATAGGATCTAAACCTAGAAGAGAACCAGCTGGTCTGGAAGAGGACCAGCTGGTCTGGAGTCCACTCTCCTCAGTTTAGGATGTAGTTTCTTCAGGTGGAGACTCCTGTCCGCCTCTGTGCAGATCGCTCTCTACTTCTTTAGCTGTGAAGTCTGTCTCCTGGCCCCTTGCTTGGGGGCTGTGTGTATGCATGTGTATGTGTGCTAACAGATATGTAATGTGGTGGTTTCGCTCTGTATAAAGGGTGTATCATCCACCCATTTCTTCCCAGAGCTCCAGCATCCTATTTATATCTACACAAAGATGCCTAAGGGCATCTCGGTTACTGTGTCCACAATGGAACTTGGGATTTCTTACTCCACTACCAAACAAAATTCTTGTTTCTCTCCTAATCTTCCCTATTTCAGCAAATGATACACCCAGACATTCGTGCCCCAAACCAAGACTTCATCCTTGATTCCTCTTTTCTCTCTCTCACTACCCTCAATGTCCAATCTTTCAGCCAGTTCCAGTTCCAAGATATATCTCAAAGTTAGCATGTCTCCCAATTTCCACGGCACAGCAGAGCTTCCTGCTGGCAACACTCTGCCTCTGACCTTCAGCAGGAGCCTAACTCTCCTTTTCCTGCCTCCCTGGTCTTCCAGAGCCCACCCTCCTGACAGCAGCCAGACTCATCCTTTTAAAGTGTCAACAAGAGCACTTCACTCTGCTGCTTGAAAGCCTCCAACAGCTCCTAATAGGTTTGGAATCAATCCACCGGCCTTACTGTGGCCTCTATGGCTGACAGAAGCTGACTCTTACCTATGCATCTGAGCTCATCTCCTACTGGTCCCCTCACTCAGCCTGGGCCGGTTCCATTGACCCGCTGTCAGTTATTTGAACATAACAAAGCTTAATTCCATCCTAGTGGCTTTGCCATAGCTCACTGGAAGCCTAGCATGCATTTAAAAGGCTGTTTGTTGTATTTTACCCCGTCTTTCTCTGAGATTTGAAGTGGGAGGGTTTTTCAGTGCATCTTGTCCTCGATGTAGTCCCCTCAGGGTCTCTGCCTTTGATATTTTCCCAGCCTGGATGTCTGCACACATGGATGCCTTTTTCATACCTTCCAGGTCTCAGTGTAAGGTTATCTCCTGAGAGAGGCCCAAACCCTCAATCCCACTCTCTATCACTAATGCCTCTTTTATTGTCTTCCAAGCAGTTACCCTGCCTAAAGCTGTCATATTCATTGAATTAGTTACACCTTTGCTATCTGTTCCTCTACCCACCATGAGAGCAGCTACTCTGCTTTGGTTACTCACCAATGTATCCCCAGTGCCTACAGAAGTCCTGGTCCACAGCAAATGTTCTTCAAATGTTTGTTCAATAGATATGCTCACACTGAGCATGTGTGTACATGAACATCTGCAAAATCACTGCAGGCTACTAAGACAGTAGGTACTCAAGTATCCCTTTGACTCATTTTCTTTCTGAATTCATGCTAAACAGCAAAATAACCTCGATTAACTTTTTCACATTAAATTAGTAACGTATATGCAGTAAAATCATTATTTATTACTTTTTGTTATACAGTTCTATGAGTTTGATAAATGCAGAGTCATTAACCATCATCATAATTGGGACAGAGACCAGTTCCATCACCACAAAACAGTCCTTCCTGCCACCCTTTTGGAGTTAACCTGTCCTCTATTGCTAAGCCCTGGCACCCCCTGGTCTGTTCTCTGTCCCTGTAGTTTTGCCTTTTCTAGAATGTCATATACATGGAATCATACTGTCTGCAGTTTTAAAGTCTGGATTATTCCCATAATGCATTCATGCAGATTGTGGCAAGTGTCAACAGTGTGTTCCTTTACACGAATGAGCAGTATTCCATTGTGTGGGTGTGTCAGTTTACTTACCTGCTCAGCAGCTGGAGGACATTCGGGTTGTTTGCAGTTTTAGGTGAGTCTAAATAAATCCGTTATCAGCATTTCAGACCGGTGTTTGTGTCCCCCACAGTTTTCCTATTCTCTTGGGTTAATTCCTCGGTGTGGGTCATTTGAGTCAGATGATAAGTATATGTTTAACTTTCTAAGACACTGCCAAACTATTTTCCATTTCCACCAGTAGTATATGAGAGGTCTAGCTGCTTTATATTCTTCTCACCACCTTTTTGTAAGTTTTATTT